TTTTATTCTTAAATTCGGCTACGGAACTGATTGAAGCACTAACCTCTACTAACGAAGCACTAAAGAATGATATAAGTTTCTTCGTTAGTGCTTCCAAAAGTTCGGCCAACTTCACGCCTAAATCGTGACGTCAAAGTTTTTATTTAGCTTATAACTTTTTTTTATAAGGCGGTTAAGTAAATTAATAACGGAATTTAAATACACTAATTAAGCACTAAATAATGGCGAAAACCGGATGTTTAGTACTCCTATAGTTTTTGTTTTGGCACGTCGCCATTATTTGTTTATTTTTGTTTTTTTCGTGAAAAACAATATGATTTATAATTATATAATAATTTTAAATTTTAACGGCAAATATTTATAATTATTATATATTTTTTTATTATTTTTTTACGTACTTTCACTTTTCATTTATTTTAGCTTTAGGAAAATGCCAAAATATTTTTAAAAGAATTATAATTTAAAATTTTTAGAATTTTAAATTTTCATGAAATACCAGGCATTAAGGTAATCTCGACGAAGGTGGAAGGAATAATTTTTTGTAATATTGAAATTATTATTTTTGGAACATTAAAAATTTATTATAATTAAGATTATTTATAAAGTGGTGGGATTTGAGCTCAGCATTCGGTCAAATCATAATATTTTTGTTTTCAAAATATTTTTTAGGATAATGTTTTACACGTATTTATAGATAAATAAACCAAAAATGAACTTTTTCCAATTAATATTACTACCAAATTTGGTCAGACAAATATTTAGTAAGTGGTCGGTTTTGAGCTCTGCATTCGGTCAAATCATAATATTTTCAAAATATTTTTTTAAGATAATGCTTAACACGTAATTGTACACCTATAAACTAAAAATGAAGAATTTTCCATGGATAACGGTAGCAATGCAGTATTTAGTCATTGCGGTTTCAAATCGGTTATCTGTCAAATCACGTTGCACGTATTTATAGATGAATAAACCAAAAATAAACTTTTTCCAATTAATATTACTACCAAATTTGGTCAATCGAATATTTAATAAATGGTCGGTTTTGAGCTCGGCATTCGGTCAAATCATAATATTTTCAAAATATTTTTTAGGATAATGCTTAACACCTAAATTATAAACCAAAAATGAAGAGATTTTGATTAATAACGCCAGCAATATGTGCCTTACAAATATTTTATTATTTTTTCGATTCTAAACCTACTCTTTAATTAAATGTCAAAGAAACCTATATTTTATAGAAAAAAATTTAGGTTTCTCACATGTATTTACACCCAAATACAAAAAAAGGGCTATCCAATAATTATTCTGGTTTCCTAAGAATATATTTTCATATTTGTGCATTTAATGCCCTCTTATGGATATATATTTGTTAAATTTTGGAATTGAAAAATAAAATTTAAGTTGTAATCAGCTAGTAAATATTTTTTTTTCCAATAATATTAAGTAAAAATAAAATTTTAAATTATTTGATATTTAATCTCAATTTTTAACTTAATAATTGATTTATGTACATTAAAAATATGTTTCTGAAAATTATTTTTAAAAAAAATAATTGCTTTTTATTAATGCAGTTTAGCAATGCAGTATTTACTCATACCGATTCAAAACATAACTACTAGGAAACAAGGCATGATGATTTAGCTGATGACATAACGGTAACGTCAAACAAAATGGACAACAGGCAAATCGTTAAGCGACGATTTGAGCAACTTGCGTACACGATCAAGAACATTAGAATGTTTTTTTATGCCCAAGGGGAATGTTAGATAAAAGTTTTTGTTTTATTTCAAAGATATTTATTTTATACCCATTGGCAATAACAAAAAAAGATTTTGTTTATTAACTTAAAAAATCAGTTTATATTATCGTTTTATTTTATCGTTACAATTTACATTTTTTTATTAATTTATCACTTAAGTTAAATTCAATTTTAAACGAAGAACATTTTATTTATTTTTTTGCGTAACTTAATGATTGATGATTTTTTTTAATGAATTATAAAGAACATTTTTGTTAAACTTCAGATATTATGTATTCTGTGATATGAATAATTTATCATGTATTTATTTCGTTTACTTTGAATTACTCTTTATGCGCCTATTATTGATTACTTATTATGTCCTATGATTCTTTAATAAATAAAATACAGAAAACTATTTTAGACCCACACCATATGATATCAATTCAGCAATTTAAAAAATAAGAATATTAAATTTGCTTCCTTTCCTCTTGTATATTTTTTTTAACGTAGTAAAAATATTAGTAACTTTTTTTAACGTATTAAAATATTAGTAAATATTAATATATTTAACGTTATAAAAAATATATAAATTTTTTTTACGACAGATTAGTTTTTTTAACATAGTATAAAGATTTATTAATTTTATTAAAGAATTTTGTAAGGAATTTTTTGTAACTGTCTTATTTATAATTTAAAGTTGATCAATGAATGGGGTTGGTTTATTCTAAATAAGAAATCAATTTATTAACAAAATAAGATCGATTATCTTGAGAATTTTTTTCGTTCTTCGATATATGTTACCGCTAAAAATCATATCCAATTTTTATTCTTTCTACCCCCTCCTTCTCCCCTTCAGGCCATGTCCAACCCTTTAAGACTAAGTGTGATATTTTGTGAGTCAAAATATTTTTAAATTAGCTTTTACTTGAGACCCATATCAAAATTATGATTACCTATGGGTAATATTTAATATTAAAAAATTCCAAGCCGGTCCAAGCCCACAATAATTTTGAAAAAATTTCTCCAAGCCCGGTTTAAGACCATAATAATTTTGGTAGTTCAGAACTAAAATAAAATTGTAAAAAAATATTAATGCAATTAAATTCTATCAGAATCAGAAATCTTCATAGCCCTTGGATTTTTAATCAGACCCATCCCAGGCCTGCAAAATTTTTTTTCTATATATTAAAGAATTTTCAAGCTACCAATACCTTAATAATTTTGAAAAATATTTCTCAATCCTAGTCCAAAATAGTTTTGAAAATTATTTTTCAACCCTGGTCCAACCCATAATAATTTTAAAAACTTTTTCCCAAACCCGGGGTAGGATTGTGGAATCAATACCCATTGTAGTTTCAATACCGTATTGATATTATCATTGTAGATTCAATACCACAGTGATATTTTGGTATTGTAGAATCAATACCGTATTGATTTTTAAGAGATGTTTTCATCGCTTCAAATATATTGGCGGCCATTGAAATTGTAAAATATCTATTCACTCTATATTTTATCATAGTTTTAAATATATTGGCGGCCATTAAAATTGTAAAATATTTATTAATTATATATTTCTTCATCGTTTCAAATATATTGGCGGCCATAAATTGTAAAATATTTTTTATTTATTTTTTCATCGCTTCAAAAATATTGGTGGTCATTTTTGATTTGTAAAAAAATTATTTAAAATAGATTTAATAGTTTTAAATTAATTGTTTATAAAATTGATTTTCTATTCTTTTATATAATTATTTCAGGGAATTTATTTATTTTACAATTTTTGATATCCTATATAATTTTTATTTGTTAACCCATTATTTGTAATAATTTTTTTCTTATGGTTAAATTATGTTTATTTAACTCCATCCTGCATAAAATTTTAATTAAATACAATGTATACAAGTTTTCTTCATTTATCATCGTATTATTGGGATCTCTAGCCTTAAATTTTAATAGACAAAAGCTTAAAATTAGGGTTTCTATTACATCAAAGAATCTCATTCAATATCTATCACTCTGACTATGTATCATTTCTTGTTGGCTTCATAAAATTGTCATTTTATTTTCTAGATGCATATACAATTATATTTTTAGCTGATTAAAATTTAACACTTATATTTATGACATACAAAATTTTTTTATATATAAATTTATAAAATAAAATTTAAAATCAAATCTTAATGTTTTAAATTATTCTTATAAATTGAAACGTTATTTTATTGCAATAATATTAAACTGTCTGATTTCTTAAAAAAGATAAACAATTTTATTTCAAAAAAACAAGAAAAATATTATAAAAAGAAATATATCACAAAAAAGGAAACCTAATTATCACAAAAAATTGAGTATATATTACATTATAATAAATTAATGATCTGAAGAGCCTATATTAAATATTATTTAAATTTTAAGCAGTAAAGGATATTTTCCTGTTACTAAGTATTCTTTTATTGTTTGATGTTTATCTGTTATTGTTTGATATTTATCTGTTATTGTTTGATATTTATCTGTTATTGTTTGATATTTATCTGTTATTGTTTGATATTTATCTGTTATTGTTTGATATTTATCTGTTATTGTTTGATATTTATCTGTTATTGCTTGACATAAATTTATAATTAAAATTTTAAATGTACCAATTTAAGCAGTAAAGGCAGCGTCTACATGACAGGATTTTCACTGGATGCAAACCCCCCTCAAAAACCTCAGCCTACCCCCCTAAAAAAATTTGCCGCCTTCGGCGGCATTATTTCGATAGAATAAATTATAATCTTATAAATATAAGTCTGAATATTTTATGAAATAATGATATATAGATTACAGGAAGAATATTTATTGGTATAAAAATTATCGAAATTTAAAAAATTATATATTTTAATTTCCACATAATAATTTTATTTTATTTATAATTTTTTTAATGTTAAAAATATATATAACATAAGGAATATAAATATGTGTGCAGAAAAAGACTAATTATAAATAACTAACTAATACTAGTAATCCAAATTTATTCAAATAAAAAAGGGAATTATAATGCAAAATGTCTAAATTTATTGCTATTTAATATTTAAAAAAAATGGATATTATAATTGCTACATAATAATTTTTTTTAATGTTAAAGATATAACACAAGGAATATAAATATATGTGCAGAAAAAGACTAATTAAAAATGACTAACTAATAAGGGATTAGTAATCCAAATTTATTCAAATATTGAAAAAAGGGAATTATAATGCCAAATGTCTAAATTTATTGCTGTTTAATATTTAAAAAAAAGGATTATCCAATTAAAAGATTAGATAGTCTTTTAGAAGTTAACGCGAAATCTGTAATAATATCTTCTGTTTTAAATGTATCATATATATCAATTTCACTTGATATTAATAATAAATTTTCTAAAAAAGAATCAGAGATTTTATTTCGAATACGTGTTTTAACAATTTTGACTTTACTCATAGCTCTTTCAGCAGAGCATGAGGTGGTGGGGAGGGTTATAAAATATTTATATAACGTTTTAAGATAAGGAAAAGAACTTGATTTAATTAATAATCTATATGGTAGAATAAATGAATATTTCAGCCATCTTTTTGTTTCGGTCATTTTACTATCATTTATAATGTTTTCACCTGTAAACATATATTAAAATTAAGTTGTTAATAAAATTAATAACTTTCATCATATAAGGTATCATTTTTTCTAATATTGATTAAATCTTTACTATAAATGATTGATAAGGAATCTAAGTATAATGGTCTAAAATTGGAAAATTCATCTATAATTTTCTGTGGATCAAAATTATATAAACACACAATTTCAGATATCTGGGAAATTTCTATATTCTCATTATCTGCTAATCCCGCAGGAGTAAAAATAGAAATCTGATTTAAAAAGTTTAATGATTCATAATTAAATCTTTCATTTAATTGTTCAATGATCATATTAATCACTGGGTAAAAATTTTCATTTTTATATCTAAAAAAATATATATTATTTTAAAATATACTTTTCATAAACTTTTCTTTTTGTTGTTCAATATAATTATCAAACTCTTTTTGATCCAATTTAAATATTGACTTAATATTATAAATATCGGTTGTAACATTATTCTTATCCATAAATGATTTAACATCGGTATGTAATGATGTTAATATATTATCACCATTTGCTTAATTAGAAAATGTAATTAAAATACATGAATAATAATTTACCCCTTAATCTTTGGAATTTATTTTTTGTATGTTGGATCAATTTAATCATCATTGCTAAATCATTTCCAATTGCCTGCATTTCAATGCAAGTTTCATGTGTACATTTTAAGATTATTCTTAAAATAAATAATCCTAAAATAAAATCATATCGTTTTATTCTAGATAGCAATCCCTCAGAAATTGAAAATGTGATTGCGTCATCGGAATTGCTTAACTCTGTCAAGGAGGCTATTATATATTCATAAACATCTAAAAAATTTTGTAATGCTTTGAAAGATGATGCCCAATTTCTGAAAATAAATAAAATTCTTTAAAAAATTATATTTATTTACCTTGTTGTGTTTTTTATTCTTTTGAGAGATTTTTTGGTTTTTTGCATTTGAAATTTGGTAAAAACACCCTGGCGTTTAACTCCATTCATAAAATTATATAATTCATCTAAAATTCCCATAGTTTTTTTAATTTCATTCCCATATCCACATATACGAATAACAATTAAATTAAGCCTATGAGCATGGCACCAGACATAAATAGCTTTAGGAGCTTCTTTAAATATTAAAGCCTGTACTTCCTTATTAACACCTCTCATATTACTAGCACCATCCATACTTTGCCCAATCAGGTATTCTAGTGGAAGATGTAATGCCTTTAATTTAGTTAAAACATTATTTTTAATATTTTCTCCTGTTGTGTCAGAAGTTGTAAAAATATTAATAATTCTTTCTACTGGGTGTGGGTGTGGATATTCTTGTATATACCTTATAATTAAGGCAACACATTCCTTTTTTGAAATATCATATGTACCATCTAATATTAAGCTAAAGGCACAATTTGAAATAATTTGTTTAATTATTTCATTCAATATTTTTATTTTTATTATCTTAGCCAATTTTTTAACATGGCCATAGGATATGAAGTTTATTTGTGGCCTTAATATTTTATTACCACTTTTTCCTTGTAAACTACTATTTTTCTCTAGATATGCTCTTAATACTGGAACATTCTTTGAGATCAAAGTTATAAGTCTTGAAAAATTACCATCATGAGAATTGCTTCCCCAAAAAGCAATATTGCCCCGTATTAAATACACAATAGCATCAATTATATTATGGATAATATAACGATTTTGGGTTATAATTTCCTCTCGGTTGAATAAAATGTGGTCATCAATACGCCCCCGAGAAATCCATGCCATATGTGCATATTCACAATCTGCATGAACAGGGGATGTTGTATGTCTCTCCATATCCCGGACTAAATTATTCCAGCTATCTGCACCTTTATGAGTCCATTGCATGCTTGCTTGATGACTTCCAAACATAATACAGAATACTTTATCCAAAATAGAGCTATATGATAGCCATTTTCTTTGAGAAAATGATTTGTCATAATTTATTTTTTTATAATAGGCATCTTTCATGCTCCTACATTAAAAGCAATATATGAATATATAATTCTTATATAATTAATAATATATAAGTAATATTGCAGCAATAATTTATTAAACCAACCTGTTATGAGTTTTTGGATAAATAAATTCATTGGAACTTGGTTGTAGTGGACCAAATTGAATTATAAAATCAATCATATTTTTTGTCATTCTAAATCTAAAAAAATGAAAGGGATAATTAGGATTCTTTTCCCTATATAAAGAAATAATATTTTCTTCATTATCTTCATATGATAAAGGAGTTATTTTAGCTTTGTTTGGTAACTGTATAATTTAAAATGTATAGATAGCTTAAGGTTATTACTTTATCTATATAAATTGATTCTAATGCTTGCATATCAATATCATCATTTTTACCCTTTAAAGACAATATTAAATAATATTTAAATTATAAACTTCTTTAATTGTTGATAAATTTCCAGATATTTTTTCTGGGTTGTCTAAATTAGAACTTCTAGGCATATTTTCGATTTTCTATATTTTGAAAAGAGAATATTAATTTATTAAATTGTAAATGCTTTGTCAGATTCTTTAAAAAAATTTTTTTTTTAAAAATTATAATACCGATGTTTCATCATCTATGAATGGAATAATTTCTGGATAGGGAGCATCTAAATGAGATTGCTAAATTTTAAATATAAAAAATGGTCATTTTTAATATTTTGAAATATTTACTACTTTGTCCTTAAAAATGAATGCAGTCTCCATATTATAAGTTTTCTTTAGATCAAATGAATAAATTATAGTATAAATACTTAAAAAAACTTCTTCATCTTGATTTAGTGTGATAATATTATGTAATGGTTGTGGTAGATTTATCTTAAGAGTATCTAATGGAGAGTCAATTTCCTTAAAAGTGTTTAAAATTATATATTGATCACTTAAATATGATATAAAAAGCATGTATAAAAATCAAAAAATAGTTTAACCTTTTGAAAATATGTTGCAATTGATTTATTTTTTTTAAATTGAGTATTGATTCCATTAGTTATTTTGAGATTATTTGCATTTGGACCAAGTTTGTTCCAAACCTTATCTTTTTTAATTGCTATTACCTCAAACTTTACATCACTATTAGGATGTCTTGTTTTGTAATGTAAATTAATTTTGTCTTTTCTAATCTTATTAGAGTTGCAGCCTGTATGCAAGCATTTTACCTTGTAATTTATCTTATTGCTTGGCATCTGATTTAAAAAATTTATATCCATTTTAAAAAGATGATTTAATAAAAATATCTATAATTTAATGATGTAATAATATATTAATAATAAAATAGATGTTTTAAAAATGGTGTAATATGATTAAAATCTACCCATGAAAAGATTTTTATTATTATTTATAAATTCCATAAAAGAAGAAAAGGCAATTATAATTCATAAATTATTAATATACTTTTTAGGAAAATATGGATGGCAAATATCTTCAAATATTGAAATATCTTTTTAAAATAACATAATTTGAAATAACATCAATTTGGATCATAAAATTGTATTATATATTTTTGTTGTTTTAATTTCAAGAAATTCGTAAATATGAAAATAATTATCCTAAATGTTGACAAAATGGCGAGTCCAGCTGATTTACTATTTTAATGAATGAACAAATATATTATGATTGTAACGTTGATGTTTAGCAATCTATCTCTATTATAATAGATCTATTATTATATTATAAATAATTAAAGCAAACTTTATTCACATATAATTCAAAAATGTAGTAGATAACATTCTAAATATTTTTACCCTACCCCCCAACTGATGCCTACCCCCCCCCCCCCCGCTCATGTAGACGCTGAGTAAAGGATATTTTCCTGTTACTAAGTATTTTTTTATTGTTTGATATTTATCTGTTATTATATAAATTTATAATTATAAATTTAAATATACCAATTTAGGCAGTTAAGGATATTTTCATGTTACTAAGTATTCTTTTATTGTTTGATGTTTCTGTTATAGCTTGATATAAATATATCATTATAAATTTTAATGTATCAATTTAAGCAGTAAAGGATAGTTCCCTATTACTAAGTATTCTTTTATTGTTTGATATTTATCTGTTATTACTTATAATAAATTTATAAATTTAAATGTACCAAATTCATTCATTAATTTTAGATTTTATTCTTAAAAGTTGAGGTTCTGTCATAAATTATCAATACGGTATTGATTTTAGATGGTGTTGATTTTACAATACTACACCGGCCCATAATAATTTGTAAAAGATTTTCCCAAGCCAGGTCCAAATCCATATTGATTTTGAGGAATAGTTCTCAAGCCCAGCCCAACTTCATAATAATTTTGAAAATTTTTTCCGGATATAGTTAAATTTTTAATTAATTTATCATCAAATGAAGAGGAAATCTCTGATCCAGACATTCTACAGGTTAGCTCCTAGTATAAATACAAAAAAAACCTGTAATACGTAATAGGTAAAATGGAAAATCCTGGGCACTGGGCACACCTCTTAATAGAGAATTTTGACAAAATTAGGTCTTTCCTAATATTTTTATAAGAATTAACAAATCTTACCTCGTTTTATTGCTGATAACCCAAAAAAATTAAGTTATGGAGAAAAATATGGATTAGAATCACGTCCACTGCAACAATTCTACAGACAAAATTGATATTTATAATGTTGAATGATTAATGTTTGCATCATTATTTGTTATCCGTGAAATAAAAATAATATTTTATCCTGTAAAAAAAATGTATGTTGATTTCTAGCCCTATTTAATATGCAGTCAATATATTTATTTTATTCATGTTTTTATTTATAAAAAGATGATTGTTATACTTTTTTGTATTATGATCAATTAAAATTATATCTAAAAAAATAAATTGTTGTTTATTCCATTGGCTTATTGTTGTTTTTCAGATAAATTTATTGTATATCTTGAATTTCCGAAATTATTTATCAAAGAATTTGATAAGGGCCATTTCCTGTTAAGAAACAAAAAATGCTATTTATTTAAATTAAAAATATGCCATTCAATATTAATAAAACAATTGCAATTTATTTATATTTTTAAAAAATGATAAGGAATAATTATTATAGGCGTGTATCTGTTTAAATTTTGAGCAAATCCTTTTAAATACATTTTAATTTTTGACGAAAAAGCGACAAATATGGGCTGTCGTTTGGAATCTGATGAAAGAATAATTCAATCATTTAGGGTTGCAGGTTAAAGTAATGAATAATGAGGGCTTACCAAAGCAGTATATAATAGCCATCGCGTCTTGATAAAGCTGATACACATGCCTTGGGCCACTGGTAAAAGAAGACATAATGTTTCTTCTGCCAAGAGTGTCAGCATTAGTATCCTTCTCTAAAATAGCATCATAAATGCTTTAATAGAGTTCTGGGTATAATTTGAACTGATTACTACGTATAGAATTTAATCGAAAGATTTTCTGTTTGGCATAACTGTCCCTGATATATTGGTGCAAAAGACATTTGGATCTTAAAATAATATTTTCATCATCAAGGGTCTGTTCTAAATCGCTAAAATAAAGATAGCTAAGAATTAAAAAGATTGGGAATCCTGTTTATATATCTTAGAAATTTTTTTTAAGTAAATTTAAACTTATTATTAATAGATGCTAAAGAAGTAAATTCTTGGATTTAAATTAGTTTTTTAAAAATCGCTAAAAATGAGGGAAATAAGTAAACATTATGAATATAAGTGTTTACTTCCTAACAACTATTAATATTATTTTCAATATTATCTTTAAAATGTTTAGAAGATATATGCGAGATTTACAATTTTATAGGGCAAGGGAAAAAAGGAGAAGGGAAGGAAAAGGGGAAGGTAAAAAGGAGGGAAAATTAGAAGAAGGAAAAAGCGAAAGGAAAGGGGAAAGTATGTAAAGGTAAAGATAAAGGTAAAAGGAAAAGAAAAAGTGTTAAGGGAAAGTAAAAGAAAAAATGAAAGGGAATGGAAAAGAGAAGAAAGGGGGAGGTAATAAGAGAAATTAATAGAGAAAGGAAGGAAAAGAGAAAGAAAAAGGAATGTAGAAAGGAAATTAAAAAGGAAGGGAAAAGGGAAATAAAAGGGGAAAAGAAAAAAAAGGAAAAGAAAAATGGTGATGAAAGGGAAAGGAAGTGAGAAGAAAGAGGAAGGTAATAAGATAAATTTAAATGGAAAGGAAGAAAAGGGGAAAGAAGGAAAGGTAATAAGAGAAATTAAAAGAGAAAGGAAGGAAAAGAGAAAGAAAAAAGGAATGTGTAAAGGAAATTAAAAAGGGAAAGAAAAGGGGAAAGGGAAAGGAAAGGGGAAAGGGAAAGAAAAGGGGAAAGGGAAAGGGAAAGGAAAGGGGAAAGGGAAAGAAAATAAGAATTGTAATGAAAGGAAAAGGAAAGGAATAGAGAAAAGCAGAAAGAGGAAGGTAAAAGGAGAAATTAAAAGGAAAAGAGAAATTATTATGGAAAGGAAATTAAAAAGGGAAGAGGGGAAAAGGGTAAGAAAAGGGGAAAGGGAGAGAAAGGGAAATAAAAAGGATAATGAAAGGGAAAGAGAAAAAAGAGGAAGAATGAGGATAAGAGAAAGAAGAGAAAGGAAAAGAGAAGAAAGGGGAAGGTAATAAGAGAAAATAAAAGGGAAAGGAAGAAAAAGAGAAAGAAGGGAAAGGAAAAGAGATATAAGAAATAAGAAATTGGAAAAGAAATGAAAGAGAAGAGGGAAAGGAAAAGAAAAGAAAAGAAAAGAAAAGAAAAGGGGAAAAACGGATAAAAGGAAAAGAAAAATGGTAATGAAAAGAAAAAGGTATAAGAAAGGGAGAAAGGAAGGGAAATAAAAGGCGAAAAGCGAAAGGAGATAGAAAAGAAAAAAGAGGTATAAAAAAGAAAAATGGTAAGGAAAAGAAAAAAGCTAGAAGAAAAAGGGGAAGAAATATGTAAAGGAGAAGAGAAAATGGGAACTAAAAATAGGTAAAGGAATAGAAAAAGAAAAAAGAAAGAGAAAGAGAAGAAAGCAATAGATAATAAGAGAGTAATTAAAAGGGAAAGAATAGTAAATATGAAGAAAAGGTAGGAAAATAGAAAGAAAAATGAATATGAAGTAAATCTAATAAAGAAGGATGATTAACCTGCCATCTCTCTCTTTGTTTGGCAATGCCTGATTAATCAAAATCTGTACAATAGAGAGGTTAAGACAAGGCATGTTTTCTAAAAAAAAAATTAATATTAATAATGCACTGAACCTGCAGATGAGCCAATATTAGGTTCAACTCTCTAGCAATAATGGGAATATCATCAGATATTGATAAAGCTAAAACAGATGTAATCTAAAATGGTGTTAGGTTCAATTCTCCAGCAATTGTAGGAATATCATCAGATATTGGTAAAGTTAAAACAGATGTAATATAAAATGTAATAAAGCATACGTAAAACATGTTTAGAAAATTATAAAAACTTATAAAAATAAACTTATATGCATTTTTAGTGGGCGTCGCTAGGGGGGGGGGCGCTAGGGTACATCTTAACTGAAATTTTATTTTAAGATGTTTGCAATACTTATTTTAGCCCATTTACGTCAAAAAAATTTAAAAAGTTATAAAATAACGATTATGACAATTGTCACTTTTCTATGGTGCATCTTCATGAAATTTTAATTTAACATGTTTACAATCTATATTTTTACCCATTTGCGTCAAAAAAATTCAAAAAACTTTAAAATTAACGATTATGATAATTGTTACTTATATAATGTACATTTTCAATGAAATTTTATTTTAACATGTTAGCAATACTTATTTTAGCCCATTTACGTCAAAAAATTTTAAAAAGTTATAAAATAACGATTATGACAATTGTTACTTTTTTATGGTACATCTTGATGAAATTCTAATTTAACATGTTTACAATCTATATTTATACCCATTTGCGTTAAAAAAATATAAAAAACTTTAAAAATAACGATTTTGACAATTGTCACTTATCTAGGGTACATCTTCACTGAAGTTTTATTTAAATATGTTATCAATACTTATTTTGGCCAGATCAAAAAAAGTTTAAAAATAATGATTATGATAATTGTCACTTATCTAAGGTACATCTTCACTTATATCTTCATGAAATAAAAATTTAACATGTTTACAATCTATATTTTTATCCATTTACATTAAAAAAAATTATTAAAGTTTAAAAATAATGATTATGATAATTGTCACTTATCTAGGGTACACCTTCACTGAAGTTTTATTTAAACATACTAGCAATACTTATTTTAACGCATTTTGGTCAAAAAAATTCAAAAAACTTTAAAAATAACGATTATGACAATTGTCACTTTTCAATGGTAGATCTTCATGAAATTTTAATATAGCATGTTTACAATCTAAATT